CTCTGCTAAAAATACAAAAATTAGCTGGGCATGGTGGCGCATGTCTGTAATCCCAGCTATTCAGGAGGCTGAGGCAGGAGAATCACTTGAATCCCAGAGGCAGAGGTTGTGGTGAACCGAGATCATGCCACTGCACTCCAGCCTGGGAAATAGAGTGAGACTCCATCTCAAAAAAAAAGCAACCTATCGAGACAATAATAAAGAATTGATGAGATAATTTATAGTAAAAACAGAAACTAGCACAGAAAGGAATATAATAAAACTATAAGATGTTGATATAGAAGTATAACTTAGATATGAAAAGAGGTTCATGATATATTCTATGACAAAGTAGGATACACAATTTATATACTACATACCCACAGAAGGATCATATATATATTTAAAATATAATCTTTTCACAAAATAAAATTTATATATAGATTGCATATGTGTGTGCAAGTAGTGTTAAGAGTAAAAGATATGCAACACAAAAAAATAGTTTATCTTCTCTGAATTACAGGATTATGGTAATCATGTTCTTCTTTATATATTTCTGTATTTTAAATTTTAAATGATGAACATATGTAACTTTTTGTAACCAAAACAAAATGTTTAAAGTAGTCATACCTGAGCATTTGGGAGGCCATATTAATAGCTCTCATTTTACCCTTTCATTTACTTCACTGCTCCTATTTCTGCATAGAGCATGCCTTTGATATATTATTTAATTTATAATAATCATTGACAAAAGTAGTCTATGGCAGACAAATGAAATAAAAATACCTGGCAGATTGAGCAATTAATTCGCTTTTTCTCACTAGACTGTAATTATTATACTGGTGTGGAAGGAAAAGAAGCTTTAGTATCAAAAGACCCGGAAATACCTAATGTAAATGACTAGTTGATAAGTGTAGCAAATCAGCATGGCACATGTATACCTAGTAACAAATCTGCACGTTGTGCACATATACCCTAGAACTTAAAGGATTTTTAAAAAGACCCAGATTTCTATCTTTGCTCCAGATCATATTTAATTGAGTAAGATTAGGCTTCATCTCTTTGAACTTCATTTTACTCTGTAAAATGGAAATAACAGTATCTTTCTCATAGAGTTTTTGTGGTGATCCAAATAGGCATTTGATATACGAGTGTAATATGACTCTTGCAGCCGAGTGGAATTGTCATTATAGCATCTTTAGGAAACAAATGCACAATACAGAGATTATGAGATAAATTGAAATTTTTACACCATTATTCTACCTCAGTACTGTCCAAGTTCTGGGACAGTATTTCTTCAGATCTGTCTTCAGCATTTTCACTCTAAATGACTAGTAACCTAGGAAGTGAGCATTGTCACCTAACTGATAGGGTTGTTTAGTGAATATCTCAGTGAATACTGACAGGACTGTTTACCACCTAACCACGGCACATTCACATTCACATTCTAGTTTGGAAGAATATGAAGAGGTCCCAGTAAACTAGAATGAGTTCTGAGCCGTGGACATACCAAAATCTTTCAAGTGGAAGTGTTATACATATGAAAGTCAAGTTCCTTCTTAATGCTTTCTTGAGCCTTATATACACCACTGTTTTCTAGAACATTGAGGTCATTTGTTTGAATATTAATAGATTCCTTTATCTTTCAAAGGATTTGGTGCCGTTTAAAACAGAAAGTGCCTTACAGATGGATACTAAACTGTAATACAAACTTCAACCAATGTAAAAGTTAATATAATTTTGCATTCCAACTTGGATGAATCAATTAGGAGGTACTAGTAACTATTAGTAATCGTCAGCATGTATGCATTAGCAAACAGCAACCTATATGATATTCAGTGGAGGAGTCTATGATGCTATGGAAGCCAAAATTGAGTGTGCAATGACGTCAGGGAGCTACAGAGAATCAGGAGTCATTCCCTTCCTTGATTATTCATATGCCTAAAAGGCATTCCCTCTTGACTTAACAGAAGAAGGATGATACAAGATATCTCTTTCTAGGAGAAATTACAAGATGACAAAGAGTTTTGGGGTTTCTCCTGCACTCTATAACTCTCTTTGGGTTATGAAGAGTCATAACATGAGGTGAGCACTTAGGGGAGAATTGACAACTTTATGTTTTACACGCATAGTTATTATTTTTTTAAAAACCTAAATTTTCTCTTGTTTCTCTACTTTGACTAGGGGTTGTGCAGATGGCCATTAGGGAGAAGGTGCAAGTGCATGCAAGTTGTCCCACTTGTAATACCCAGAGGGTCAATAATAAGTGCGAAGCAGAAGAGGCATCTGGGATTAATACCATTCATGGTTCTGGACTTGTTGATGAGTGGAATTTAAAATCTATAAAAATATTTTAAAAATCTATAAAACCAGTGCCAACAGTCTCTTCAAACAACTCTCTTAAGTTAGTGACCATGTTATATATAAATGTGACACATTTAATAATTTTATGAAGTTGAAAATCACATGGAAATGCATAGACTTGAATTATGAAAAATGTTCTTTTACCCAGGAGCATACACTCTTATCAAATAATAATAATCAGAACTGTAATAATAGGCAAGAATAGATCAAAAGAAACATCTGATCACAATATAAGCCTTATCCAAAATGCTTGGGATTAAATGTGTTCTGGATTTTGGATTTGTTTGTATGTTTTTGAAATAGTTGTATTTTACTGGTTGAGCAACGTTAATCCAAAAATCCAAAATCCAAAATGCTTCAATGAACATTTCCTTTGAAAGTCATGTTAATACCCAAAGAGTTTCATATTTTGGAGCACTTTGGATTTTGGAGTGTTGGCATGGGGATACTCAACCTGTATCATATTTTCATGAAGTAGCCACAAAGGGTCATAGGCAAGTCTGGTTACTTGTCCGATAGATCTGTATTTTGATGGAGAGGGGAAAAAATTACCTAATGTTCAAACTGGAAAACAAGGAATGTTTATAAATTTTAACTGTCCGTATAATATCTTTAAAAGTTTATGATTTTTTTAACTGTACATATACTATATTTAAAAGTTTGACTCAAGTAATACCTCATATTTGAAAACATGTACATTACAACAGATAATTGTATAAGGTAAAGCATAAGGAGGATTACTTGCTCAAATGGTCAGATTAACAAAATAAGAAATTTACTAAAATGTTTTAAAATGAAATATTTATCCTAATTTTCATTATACACATCATCTCTGTGTCCTAAGAAAACAAATAATAAATTGGCATTAATCTCTCATAAAGTAGTTACCAAAGTCAATAACTGCATACTACCATTAGTTGCTGAGTTATTCTTCCCCTAAAATAGCAAAGAAACTTGCATATTCTCATTCTTTCCTATGTAAAAATGACAGTTGTATAACAGGTGAACTTGTAGGTTCTTTCGTTTTCTTCAGATATCTATGGTGGGCAAATCTGTACATTTTAAAAATAAATTCTAATTATTTAAAAATACTTTCTTTTAAGCAAAAATCAGGTGAGGTGGCAGAATAAACAAAATTTTGGATTTGGGAAAAATTCCAATACATAGTTATAAAATTCACTTTTAAAATCCCCCTTTGACAGAGAGTCATCAATAAACACAGAAATTCAAATGTATCCTTCTAAGGAATCAATATTTGTAAATGTTTCACATAACCTCAGCAAACCATTTTACCTAATGTTTCAGTGAAGGTGTGAGAGTCAGGATTCTTTCACTCTCAGGCCACCCATCATCTGTGTCTACACCAATCTGATGTGCCACAGATAGGGAACCCTGGAATTAGATATTTAAATTTCAGCTTAATATTGGAAGTTTCTAATTGGAAATTTTAAATTTTAATTTTCAGTTGAATTTGTGTCTGAGAAGTTCTATTGCAAATGTTGAAAATAATGCCATAATAGAGAACAGACTCTTTTTATATCTATTAACAGCATAAAATCTTACTTTTTTCAGTCACTTTTTTTTTTTTAGTTCGTTACCTGTTTTAATTAAACAAACAAAAAATATATCAAAATCTAAGTAGGCTCTTAGGAAATTTTAAATATTCATTTACTCTCTAATGTAATACCAAAGTAGACAATCAGTTACTTCTGCATAATCAACACACTGGAAAACAAAGTACTTTATACGTACTGATTTCCTGCACGGAAAACTACTTGCTTGACTTTTCTGGAAGGGGATCCTCATTGATTTCACTTTGGCAAATGGCAAAATAACTTCAGCAATATTAATTCAAAGCTTTTTCCCTATATGATTGCAAAAACAGGACTATGCAGGTGAAGCCAAAAATAACAAAATAACAAATGCAATTATTCACTGAATATTAAGGCAATTCCAAGGAACTAAAATCGATTACTTGAATATTCCAATATACAGAACAGTAGAGTAATGGTTCTCAAATCAGAGTTGATTTGCCAATGATAGATCCTCCCCCATCTTCCAATCACACAGTCCCCTGTTGCTCCTTTGTTCACTTTTCAGAATCGTGGCACTAGTGAGTAGAGGTCAGGAATGCTGCTAATCATTCTACAAGGCACAGAACATTCCCCTGAAAAAAGGAAAAAAAAATTTTTTTTGTCCTTTTTTCAGTTAGGCTTGAGCTGAATTTATTATTATTATTTGAAGGAGATTAATTTTTTTCTTCCTCTAATGTTTCCATTTACAAAGAAACCCTTTATTTATTTGCCTCTGTTCTTTTCATTTAATTATGTCGCTTTACACAGAAGAGTTAGAAACACGTTTTTCTACCTGCTGCAAGGGGTTATATGAAAGACAAGTATTAAGCCAAAATTCCAAAAAAGGAATTATCCAGGCTGATGTGTCAATAGTGCCGCTATTGGGAAACCCTGCAGTTAAGTAAGAGTGGGCCTTTTCAGATATAATAAGTTAGCTGTATAGGTAATTTATTAGCCTCTTAACACATTGGAAAGTTGAAATTTGATTGAATTTCACCGTGTAAAATCACGTAGAAATGTCAGAATGAGTTAATGAATGAATCTGAAATACCACTAGCAACTAGATTTAGTAAATGTTCCTAGGGAGAATTATTTATTGACCAGGGTAACATATTATTTTCTTTTTATATAGGGATTTCTCAACAGTGATCCTTTGTTTCATAAAGAGAAGAGAATGGAGCAGTTCAGACATAGTATTCCTAGGTAAGTAAATAGAAAACATTTCAAAATTAATTTCCTTTGCTTGCCTATAATTTCAAAAACAACTTTATATCCTTTCCCTAAAGGTTTATTCATAAAATTCTTTTGAAATTAAAAAGTATAATATGTTATTAAAATATTTCTGTTCACTAAAATTGCCTTTCTTCTTTGATATTTTAAAGATCGATTTATGTCAATGCTGCTTAGTGCTAAATGTAGTATTAATATTAAAGATGCCATTTTGAAAAAAAACTTTCTAATTAATAAAGTGAACAAATCATGAGTATATGGTGTGATGAATTTTTGCAAAGTGAAAAAATCCCTATAGTCATATCTAGATCAAGATACAGAACACTGACCACATCTTAGAAGCCATCTTTATTCTCATTTCTCTTCACAAAATGTAATCAAGAATTGTTGACTTCTACCAACATAAGTAGTTTTTTGTTTTTCAATTTACATAAGTGAAATCCTATAGTATATAATCTTCAGTGTTTGAGTATTCTTCTTCTCAACCTTATCATGTAAAGCAATTGGTTTCCCCGCTGACTGGTTTTCCATTACACGAACTACTGCAATTTATTAATCTAGTTTATTCTCTACATGTCTTTTAATGGACACAGTATGTATTGTTATCAGCAGAGGGTGTATAAACAGAAATGAAATTGATGTAGAAATCGGGCAGTGAAGTAAATGAAAGGGTAAAATGAGAGCTAATAATATGGCCTCCCAAAATGCTCAGGTATGATTACTTAGAACATTTAGCAATGGTTATAAAAAGTTACATATATTCATCATTTAAATTTTAAAATACAGAAATGTATAAAGAAGAGCATGATTATCTTAATCCTGTAATTTGGAGAAGATAACATTTTTTGTGTTGCATATCTTTTACTCTTAACACTACATGCACACATATATGCAATCTATATATACACTTTATTTTGTGAAAAGATTACATTTTAAATATATATGATCCGTGTGTGTGTGTGTGTGTGTGTAGTGTATAAATTCTGTATCCTACTTTGTCATAATCATGAACTTCCTTTCAAATCTAAGTTATACATCTGTATCATCATCTTAAAGTTTTTTTACATTCCTTTCTGTGCTAATTTGTTTTTACTATGAATTATCTCATCAATTCTTTATTATTATCTGAATAGGTTGCTTTTTACATTCACCATTATATAGACAGCTGCGCAATGAATTTATACATATATTTGACAGAATTATATCACTTCTGTTGGATAGGAAATTTTATTCCAAAGTGAATTGGCTATCTGAATGGAGCATGTATCAGAGGCCTTTCAACTTGCAATACCACATCTTCCTTGAATAGATGTTCAAATTTATACTCCCACCAGGATTGAAAAGAATTATAGTTTCCTTCACTTTTGCCATCATGCAATATGTAGCATTTATTTATATCTCTTCTTTGTCAATATTCAGTTCAAGTTCTTTGCCCATCTTTCTACTGAAGCACCAGTTTGTTTCTCATTAGTGTATTCATGCAATATTTTAAGAGTATTAGTCCATTTTTATCCATTATGTATATTGCAAATAATTTCCTATTTTATTGTCTTTTAATTTGTTTACAGTGTTTTCTGCCATACATATATTTTCATTTTATTTTATATTCACTTTTAGAAAGGTCTTTTTCAGCCTAAGAGTATAAATAATAACTTTTCTACTGCTTTTTTTTTTTTCATTTTTTATAATGCATTTTCTCTATTGTGAACCACATGACTACATATGTTGTTGGTTCTTTTTCTGGACTTTTGGATTTGTTTCATTGATCCTTTTGTCTGACGTTATGCTAAAACCATACTATAACAGCTTTATAATTAACCTTGATGCTAAGCATATTATTTGGCATATACCTGTGACGGCACAAATTTTGATATTGATATACAAAAATTTTTGAAATTTCATTTTCTTCTTCTATGACTAATTTCAATTATGTTTTTGAAAAAAACCTTGTGGTACTTGATAGCATTAAATAATGTATGTCAACATAGCCTAGTACTGTATACGTTGACACTCAAAGATAGCTATTGTTAATAATAGCCGTAGTAGTGGAAATTATAGTAAACATGTCAGCAGTAATTATATTAGTGGATATTTATTAAACTGTGTAATAGGTTCAATTCTCAAAGCATATTTTAATATTTTCACTCACTTAAAACCTATATTATTTGTGAAATCTAAATTTCCCCAATCAAATGTACACACTACTTAAGATAACACAATGCAGATCCAAAGATACACATCTAACACAATGTCTGACAGAGTTTTGGGTTTTCTAAGAGAGAACAAGCTTTGGAGGACCATACATGTATGGTATAAAATAACACTAAGCGTATGTGTTTTGGGCAATGATATACTTGTGCTTCAATCTGTCCTTCTCCAGATACTATCTCTGTAACCTTTGAGGCCACTTCCTCATTTGAAATATGAAGACGGCTGAAACAACGAAACGAGCTACTGTGAAATAAGGTATGCAAATAGCTCAGTGCTTGATTATACTAGGTTTCTGTCCTAAGTTCTTCTCAAGTTTATTTGTATTTTATTTTATTTTTTTCCTTTTTTCAGTTAGGCTTGAGCTGAATTTATCATTATTATTTGAAGGAGATTCATTTTTTTTCTTCCTCTAATGTTTCCATTTACAAAGAAACCCTTTATTTATTTGCCTCTGTTCTTTTCATTTAACTATGTCCCTTTACACAGAAGAGTTAGAAACATGTTTTTCTACCTGCTGCAAGGGGTTATATGAAAGACCAGTATTAAGCCAAACATGTGAGCCTTTTCTCAAATAGGTGTGATGTGTTCAGAAGCAAGGTAATTCCAAGGTGAAGTCATCAGATTCCTTATTACTCCCCTAAAAGGACATCTTTTTAGGATCTGGAGGCCTCGATAACCAGGATCCATTAAGTTTGTTAGAAAAGACTGAGTGAAAAGAGAGAGTCAAAAAAGAAAAAGAGGATTATCAGAGAGGAAATATATCTGGAAAACAAGGAGGAAATCAGGAGACAGAATAAAGTTTCAGAAACTGGGACTCATGATGTTTTACCGATTTTCAAAGTGATTACAATATGCCCACTCTTATGCAAGATGCTGGGCCAACACAAAAATCAACAGTTGCCACCATCCTTGATCTGCCTCATTTTGGCAAAGAATCAGTTGCATCTAGAGTTGAGACATTCCTAAGCATCTTGTAGTCCGGAGCTCTCAAAGGCATGAACAAGCCTTTTTCTTAAAACAATCACAGTAAATACCATTCCATACATTTAAACACAATGCATTATAGCCAAAAAGAAAGAGCCTGTTTCCGTAGTGTTTAAGAGTTTACTTAGAGTGTCTTCAAGGGGAGGAAGATCAAAATAAGAGATGTCACAAGAGCTAAAGTAAATGACAACAGCAAAAGAGATCAGAAGCCCATTCATACTTTCCTCTCCAGCTCTGCTGTTGCTATTCCCGAAGTTCATAGTTTAATTACCTTGTTGTAGGAAATTATGGTGAGATCAAATTGTTTTCCCTACTGCTGCTTCTCTCCCTCCCCATGCATCCCATATACACCAGCTGATCACTGTTTTTGAAGTATCACTCTTATCTGGTACTTCCTTCCTCAAAGGTCTCTCCTGGTATCCTACTAACTAATGAATAAAGCTTATATACATTCTGGATATCCTAGGAAGTTTTTAAATAAATGTAGTTAGTGATAAAAATAACACCTCAAAGCCTATGGTCCCCCATCTATAAAATGTAGATAAAAAAACACACTTTGCAAAGCTATTGTGTGTATAAATATGACGATATTTGTAAAAATCATAAGAAGGCAGGTATACTAGGAAGCCACTTGAATCTCATACAATATTTTAAATAAATAACAAAGTAGGGAAAATATGATTTTAAAATTTTTATTGAATGACTACTATGTGCCAAGGAATATTCAAGGCATGCTACCTGTAAACAATGTCTCTCCTTTCACAGAGTTTATAAGAGTTTACATTTATTTTGAGAGCTCAAGAATATTATCAGCTCCTTCGAATTTGTTATTCCCAAAGAACTTGTGAATTTTGAGGCACACCTGCTTTGTGTACTACAATTAATTCCAGATGAATTTCTTGTTGCTTGCTGACATGCCTTTGGTTCTAAAGAATTCCAGATTAGTTACTAAAGTGGCAGGGTGGGGAATTTGTTGCTATGAAACAATGTTGAGTAAAACAAAATTGAATTATTTAACCAGAAATACTGTGTCTTAAAACACAAAAATTCAATTTCGCAGTTTTACTAGCCCTTGAGCTGTTAAATTTCTCAGTTAAATGGGTAACTAAAACCCATTAAGAATTTATTTCAAAGTAGGACTGGGTACGGTGGCTCACGTCTGTAATCCCAGCACTTTGGGAGGCTGAGGCAGGCAGATCACCTGAGGTCAGGAGTTTGAGACCAGCCTGGCCAACATGGTGAAAGCCCATCTCTACTAATAATACAAAAATGAGCCGAAGCGTGGTGGCGGGCACATGTACTTTCTCCCTCGTAGCATACCAGGCTAATGGTGTTCAGTGAAGAAATAAATGAAAGAAGAGGATTGGTATGGATAATTTGCTTTCATTTTTCGTGTCATGAAGTAACTATAAATAATACTTTCCTGGCTGGGCATGGTGGCTCACACCTGTAATCCCAGCACATGGGAGGAGAGCATGAGCCCAAGAGTTTGAGACCAGCAAGACCTCACCTCTCTATATATTTTTTTAAAAAACCAAAATTAGACATAGTGGTGCACCTCTGTAGTCCTAACTACTTAGGAGGCTGAGGTGGGAGGATCACTTGAGCCCAGAAAGTTGAGGATACAGTGATCTATGATCACACTATTGCATTCCAGACTGGGCGACAGAGTGAGACCCTGCCTCGAAAATAAAATAAAATAATCATAATAATACTAGTTTCTAAATTCAAAGTAAAACATTTTTTAAAAAATTAAAGGTAATTTAATTACAATCTTATTATAGTTACCCAAAAAGTAATTATTTATAATGCTGCATTTGTTTCCTTACAGTATATAAAGTTTTAATTTAGAAGTTGTTCCCTGTTTAGTCTGAATCAAGAAATTTTAAAAAAATTTACACAATTTTCCTTTTAGAGAGAACACTGAAAAAACAATATAATATTTTCATTTCAAATAATTATTTTTATATTTAACTCTTCCACCAGATTAAGTCAATGGTAGGATAGGAACTTCACATCCCTTTAATCTGAAGATTTTTCTCTATTTATTTTCACAGTCAATTACAATCAAATATGAAGAGTCAACTATTAGAAACGTTTTTAAAATCCTAGCTTACTAAAACAAACTGCAACAAAGAAAGAGGAAAATAAAGAAAGAAGGAAAGAAGAAGAAACGAAGAAAGGAAGGAAGACATAAAGCCTGATTCAAAGTGATTTTATAAAAAGCAACCAGTTTTTATTAATGTAAATATTAATTTGTGAAAATTACATTAATGAAGACCCCTTCACCGTATATTTTTAAATGAAAATCTTCTAAACACTTATTTGCATTTTTCTTCCTCTATGTAATGCAACGTAAATTAAAACAGATGGTTTCAGAAATGCATTCTCAAAGTTGAATAGCTACGGATATGAATAGGAAAGACAGAGTTATATTAGAACTACAATGTTACATCTCTAACCCCTTTTTTTCCATAGTATATAAACTTTATCAAATTCATTACAGAGCTCTATAAGGATACCATTGATATATTCTGTTTTCCTCTAACTCTGGAATCTAAAGTCCAGAACCTTGAAGAATCTTCTTCCTGCACTCTATGTCTCTTGTATACACAGCCTTATTGAATTTCCCTGTTTGGCCCCAACCTCTTATTAGCTAAAAAAAATAATAACAGTAGTTTATACTGTCCCCAGTTCATCAGAAAGAAACTTCTGCCACACTGGAAAACAATGGTGAAAAATACATAAGAATAGAGGTGACTGCAAAAGACCTAACGCCAAAAAGTACCAAGTGAAAAAGCAAAACCAGTGACCAAAAGTCAATTTGAAGGACCATGAATTCAGCATCAGTGAGAATGAAATACTTAATCTGTACATCCTTCCCCTTGTGATGTTAAAATATCATTGATATAACTAGTTAAGCTTGACCCATTGAAAGCAGGTATATAGCTCTACTTCCTCCCAAAGCTCTACTAAAATAAGTGTAATGAATTATAACCAGAGAGATAAAATGAATAGGGTTGAAAATAATGAGGAAAGATATTGGTGTATTTTTTGAAGATGAAAAATCAATAGAGGGGGTACCACAGGAGAGAAAGCTAAATACTATGTATCTATAGATAAGAATAACTATGAGCAACTAATCTTAAGCCCCAGATCTACAGACATATTTATTCAGCAGGTGCTACACAAAATGAAGAGACAGATAAAAAATGGAGATATTGACTGAAGTTTACGTAGAGACCAATTTGTCCTTCAGATCCCCTATCTACCATCCCTGCCCAGTCAAGCAACTGCATCTTCTAAATCTTAGCTTAATCCTAAAGGCTCATTTCATGGAGAAACTGAAACACGGGTTTCAAACTTAGGAACCCTAGGTACAGCAATTAATAGGGACAAGATGAACTGAAAGAGAGAGAGAAAGAGAGAGAGAGGGAGGGAGGGAAGGAAGGAGGGGAGGATGCGGGGAGGGTAAGAGACAGAGAGAGAGAGAGAGAGAATGAATATTAAGAGAAAGGCTACAGAAAGAATAGCAAATCTCCACACCTCTTGTCTCCCCTGGCTCAATGATAGCTGACAACCAGACATATACTCCCTAACCACCAACCCCACCCACTCACCACCACACTCCCCAAAGCAATAGAAAGCTTTTTCTCTGAGAGTCTTTGTGACCAGAGGAGGAAGTTTTATGTTGTTTACAGAGATTTTCCTCTGAGGGAGTCAGAGAAATCTTCCACCCACTCACCTTATATCCAAGTAGACCCAACATATAAACCGAGTTAGTAAGTAGAATCCTAAAATGAAAAGCCCAGGCCCAGCTGGATTGACAGGTGAATTCTAGAAAATAACTAAAAAAAAAAAAAAAAAAAAAATAGTAAAATTTTAAAAAAAAACTTTTCAAAAAATATATTAAAAAAAAAAAAAAAAAAAAAAAAAACCATGTCCCATCTTATTCTATGAGATCATAACTACCTTGATACCAAAGTCCAAGAAACACATGGAGACAAAAAAATTTCTTAAAGGTTTGTGTTTCTTAGAAACACAGAGGCAAAACATTTCTCAGCAAAACAAAATGAATCCAGCCATACAGAAAAAGATTATAATCCATGAAAAAGTGGGATTTATCCCAGAAATGCAAGGTTAATCTAATGTCTGAAAATCAGTTTATATAAGAAACCATATTAACAAAAAAAAAAAGATATAATAATCTACATAAAAGTACAAAAAAGTATTTAACAAAATCCAACACTCAATTCTGATTAAACATTCTCAGTAAGCTAGAAATAGAATGGAATCTTCTCAACCTAATAAAGGACATCTATGAAAAACCCACAGCTAGTATCCTACTGCTATCCCCCTGTTATATGGAACAAGGCAAGGAAATCTGCTTGCACTACTTTAATCAAATATGGAGGCTATAGCTATTATAATAATGCAAATTAATTCATTTATTGACTAACAGCATCCAGATTGGAAAAAAAAGTGGTAAAACTAGCCAGGCACAGTGGCTCACACTTGTAATCCCAGCACATTGGGAGGCTTAGGCAGACAGATCACTTGAGTCCAGGAATTCAAGACAAGCTTGGGCAGGATAGTAAGACCCCATCTCTACAAAAAAATACAGAAAGTAGCTGAGTGTGGTAGTGCACTTGTAGTTCCAGCTACTTGGGAGGCTAGGGTGGTAGGATCACTCGGGCCTGGGGAGGTTGGATTTGCAATGAGCAGTGATCACACCACTGCACTCTAGCCTGGGCAACAGAGTGAGACCCTGTCTCAAAGCAACAACAAAGTAGTAAAACTACCTTTATTTATTCATGGACTATATGTTTCTGAATGTATAAAATCTTAAGGAATTTACAGAATCTTTTTCATAGAATAAATAAGTTTAGCAAGGTCACAGGATACAAGACCAACACACAAAAATCAACTGAATTTTATATACTAGCAATGAAAAATCACAAAATGAAATCAAGAAAACAATTTCATTCACAGCCCAAAAGAATAAATGACTTGGGAATAAATTTAAAGAAGCCTAAGACCTGTACAGTGAAAATTATAAAATTTTGCTAAGAGATACTAAAGATCTAAATAAATAAAGACCCACTATGTTCATAGATTCAAGCAGTCAATTTTAAGTTGACACTTCTCCTAAGGTTAATCTATAAATAAATGCAATCCCTATCAAAATCCCAACAGGTCTCAAACTTTCTCTAAAGCTACAGGAATGAAGACAGTGTGTGTGTGTTAGTCTTTTTTGTATTGCTATAAACGAATACCAAATGCTGGTGCCATGCAGAACTGTGGTAATTTATGCAGAACCCAGCTAAGTAGTTTATAAAGAAAGAGATTTATTTGGCTCACAGTTTAATATGGCACCAGCATTTGCTTGGTTTCTGGTGAAGCTTCCTGAAGCTTTTACTCATGGTAGGAGGTGTAGAGGCAGCCAGTATCTCACACGATGAGAGAGGGAGCAAGAGAGAGAAGGGGACATCCCAGACTCTTACACAAACATATCTTGTGTGAATTAATGGAAGAAGAAATTACTCGTGACCAAGTGGATGGAGCTAAGTCATTCATGAGGCATCCAGCCCCATGATCCAATGCCTCCCACCAGGCCCCACCTTCAACACTAGGGATCATATTTTAACATGAGATTTGTATATACAGTGGAACCATATCGGTGTGCTATTGACTTAGAGATAGACTGATAGATCAGAAGAGAGAATCCAGAAACACCCATCAAAATTAAAAAAACAAAACCAACTTACATTTATGGTGAAAAGACTTTTGATAAAGATACTAAAGCAAAGTAATGGGGAAAGGATAGCCTATGTTAGAATAATTGGTTAATCATATGCAAAGACAAAAACAAAACAATAAAAATACTTAAAATACTTACAACCCTCATTTCTCACCATACTCATAAACTAACATAAAATATCATATACCTAAATGTAAGCATTAAAACTATGAAGCTGTTAGAACAAAATGAAGTTTTGTTCTTGTGAATTTCTTAGACGTGACATCAAAGCTGAAAATTTTTACTCTACAAAGAACACCATTAAGAAAATTAAAAGACAATTCCAAAATGTAGATGAAAGTTTGCAAGTCATATATCTGATAAAGGCCTTCTATCTAGAATAAAGGAATAACACTTCCCAATAAACTACATGACAAACAACCCAAGGAAAAAAGAAAGGGCAAAATATTTTAATAGACATTACACCAAAAATTGTATTTAAATGGCAAACAGACACATGAAAAGATGCTCAACATATTAGTTATTAGGGTGAATTTTGTAAATTAAACTACAACAAATGATTACTATCTTTACCCATTAGAATAGCTGTAATCCAAAAGAATTACAACATAAAATATAGGTGAAGATGTGGAGTATTTGGAACTCTTGTATATATTGTTAATGAGAATATAAAATATATACTATTTCGTAAGCTAGTTTGACAGTTTCTTGAAAAATCATAATACACAAAATATGGCCTGTAATTTCACTGCTAGTTGTCTACCCAAGTGAAATAAATATATGTCCCCAGGAACACTTGTATATGACTATTCATAGTCATATTACACATAACAGCATCAAAGTGGAAAATTCCTAAATCAATCAATTGGCTATATAGATACATAAAATAGGTTCTAGGAATGCAATAAAATACTACTCAGCAAATCAAACCGTGGATACGTACCACCACACGAATGAGCATCAAAAACATTATGTGGTGAAAGAAGCCAGACACAAAAGACTACGTTTTGTAGCATCTCATTTACAGGGCATTTCTGGAAAATGCAAAACTACAGAAAGTGAAAGCCAACTGGAAGTTAGTTGCCTGGGGCTGGGGGTGGAAGCAAAGACTGACTGCACAGGCACAAGGGAGCATTTTGTGATCGTAAAGACATTGGAAAATTGAATTGTAGTAATTGTTGCACATCTATAAATCATTATCCACTTCCAGTGAGTACATTTTATGGTATGTAAATTATACCATGACATATGGCATACTTCCATAAAATGAAGAAAAATGCTAAGAAAGAGAAAGCATACAGACCAGGAAATTGTTCTCTAGCACTGGAGAGAAATGCGCTGTACATAAGTCTTGAAACTAACTAGTCACTTGTGGCAGAAAAATAGAGGCTGCCAGGAAAGAACAGAGAAAAAAAATGGAATTTTAGACTATTATATTTGTTGCCAATTTTCAGTGGAGTTTTACAGCTACTTTAGACACTGTAAAGATAATTGATGGTAGAGACAATCAAAATAATTATTCATTAAAATAACTGTAAAATCATGTGTAAGAAAAAAAGTAATAATAAATAATACAGTGCTGCAAAAAAATAAACAACAAAGTTGTATTTACCCCCAAACTTAGA